ATTTATTTATAATACTATATATTTATTTATTTAATAAATCATTATATTCATTTAATGTTAAGTAATATTATAATTTTAATATTATCATAAAAAAATAAATAAATAAACAAGAAACAAGTGGAGAATGCCCATATTCACAAAAAAAAAAAAAAAAAATCCTTTTGATGGATGTTCGAAAAAAGACAGAAAATGAAAAAAAAGTACAATAAAGACATATAGACAATTAGATACTCAGGCTGGAGGCCTGGCAATTTTGGCTGCACAGGAAAGTCCGTCCGTACATCCTGGCCTCAGCCAGGTTTCGGGATGCTGGGACTCCCCTGCTTTACAAAATCACCCTTTCCAAAATTTCTCCCACAAAAAAAAATAAAAATAAAAATAAAAATAAAAATAAAAGGGAACTGACGCACACAAAACTTAGACCATTAATTTGTTACCCTTAAAACTTGAACACACACTGACACGCCCACAAGCAGAGAGTGTTTGCGGAAGAGAAAATGGTTAAGCATACTAGGTTCACCAAGCCTCAAACCCCTAATTCTTAGACCATACTAGTCATTTAATTTCTACAGCATTTTCTAGCTTAACAGCTCCACAGATGGAGCAGGTGGAGCCAAAGTCAAATCTAAATTCGGAACAACTTCATCTAGACAGCTTTTATTTAGGACCAATCCCAAATTTGTCTGTTTACTATAGCATGCTTTACCTAATTGCTTGAATTCTGTTTGCTGCGCTAAAACACCCAAATTTCCGTCAGATGAGGGTGCTATGGTTGCTCTATCCACCTCCATCCGATACCAGAGTATTCCTGCTTCATCTTCCTCCTTGTAGAGCGCCACTACATCCCCAACATTCAAGTGGTTTTTGCGAACAAAGGCTAACCAACCTTTAGAGAGAACAGGTTTCTTGTGCCCCTGCTTCCTAGTGGAGCATGCCATTGGCCACACCCTACTCTCATACCTAATGTTCAATTTTACTGCATAGCCTCCATTGAAGTGTGGAAAGAAACCTAGACTCTTGGTTGGGATAGCCAGCCTTTTGGTGATGTCAGTGGGTTTCAGTGGCTTCTTGAAGAGCATGAGCGTACGAGGCATGGTTCTACGTACTAATTAATTCTCAATGTGCAGGATGATTGTATATGTTTTTGGAAATGAGATGGTAAATGTTTCAGCACTGATTGCTATATAAAGGCGTGAAGATTCTTGCATTCAGCTAGTTATGGACCAGTTAAGGACTAGGCTGTCCCCATTAATGGACACCCCACTTTGGCACCATAACCGTTCATAGTGGACAATCCCCCGAGATAATTAGGAGATTAGAAACATTTCTAAATTAAAAAAGTGTCTCTGCTGTTCAAAAATATTTTTAAAATAAAAAAAATATTTTATAGTTTAAATTATATTAAATTATAAAATATTAATTATTAAATCTCTCTAATAATATAAATGACTCTTCTATTCAATTTTTTTTTTTTTTTACAAGGGAAATACTAGATTAGTGAATTAGTATCTCTTCTATTCAATTATTTAATAACAAATATTTTACAATACAACAAAATTTAAAATGTAGAATACCTAACTTTTTCTAAATATATGTTTATGTATACCTCTGCATCCACACTCCCCTGTTGTGGGGTCTTGGCTCTTGGGTGTGTAATCTACCTTTATCTTCGTTATCTTTTTTTTTTTTTCTTTTTTTTTCTTTTTTGATAAAAAAGAGAGATATTATAGACTAAAAACTAGATACATTGGTGCTGCTTCGGAAATTATTTTTAACTTCACAGGGACTTTATCTTTGTTACTTTCTATTATCTTTAATTTTTTTAGGAAACATTATATGACCAACATGCTATATGTGATCTTTGAGAGTCAATGACAAAGACTGAATTCTTTATAATCCTGTTAGTTCAGATGGGAAAGATAGAATTAAAAAAAGTCTGATTAGGTGATAAGTTTACTTTTTACATATATTTATTTATCTTTTTTTGCCTAAAAATTAATTTTTATATATTTTTATAATTTAATCTCACTTAAATTTATATCAATTTTATTATTTTATAAATAAAGATTAAAAAATAAATTTAATGAAAATTAATTCTTTAACTAGTTGTAGTTTGAATATGTAGTGGTATTTCAATCATAATTTTTTCTTTAAAGATCAAATTGAAGTAATTCTTAAAACATTAAAAAATTAAGAAACAAAAATACAATTTATCTTTTACAATCTTAACCCAATTTAACCATATTCAAATTGTAATTCCAGTCAAAATTTCTGGTTTCGACGTCGCCAGTGCTGGACGGATTGATAAGGGAGAGCCCGAGCTTATGAGCTTTTATTTTATTCAAATTGGTGGATTAAAAGTTGTGGGCTAGTAGTAATTTAAGCCCACATATCCCAAAGCCCTAAAAGAATAATAAGCTAAACAGAAAAAACGCTTGCAAAAGGAATATATACACCGAGTACACTATCAGTGTGGTTCTCTCCGTCTCTTTAATTTTTAACTTCTTTGGCAGCCTTATTTTAAGAAAACAGTAGACAGTGGAGGGGACAACAGCCGCAGCAACTCACGATTGAAAAGTCTAAGCAGCAGTTTGGTCTTATTCTTTTATGAGATTGTTTCCTCATTTGTACCTATTAATTTTACAATGTTTTTTTACTAATTTTTTTTTAAAATTTTTATGGTTATTCTAAACTTAATTATAAGTGGTTAAATTATTTGAATTAGAGTTAGACGTAGTTTAATTTTTGAATTATGTAATTGATTTTAGTTTAATTTATGACTCATTTGTTATTTGCATGAAGAGTTTATTTTGTTAAAACTTAATGTTTTGAAAGTTTGATTATTTTTTAATTGATCTAATGATTTATACATGAATTTAAAAAAAAAACTATACAAATTAGATTAATAACAATATAAATTATATGTTAAACTATGAGAACAAAAAATAATTAGTATCATATGTGATAGTTAAAGAAGAGAAGAGAGTTAAGAGCTTCCCTTCTTAAACTAGAGATTTCTATAAAATTTAATGCATACTAATTTATTTTAAATTATATAAACATATGATTAATTTAATAAGTAAGGGAATGATTAACTTGAATTAAGAAGGCTAATTAATTAATCAAGAACAATCCACCATCTCATGTGATGATAATATTATTTGGTTTTAGATTAGATTAATAGTTGGTTGCATAATTCATATTGAATGAAATCTAAACTCTAGTTTTTTTTTATCCATAGTTTCCTTTTATTTAAAAAGTTCATGTAGATTAAGTAGTTTAGTTTTATTCAATTAATCAATTAACTCAACTTATGTTAGATTAATATTATCTTAATAATGCAGAATGGTCTTCAAAAAAATGATATTTTACTTATTTTATATTATATAATCAATTAAATTCATTTGTTTAAGAGTAGTGCATACTTTATATATCACTCACCACTATAAAATAAAAGTCAGATGAGTCATAAACTACAATCAGTACATTACATGGCCTTTCTAGTTCTGTCAAGTAACAAGTTTTAGAATTATGTTTCAATGAAAATTTTATAATTAACGAGTTTCTCAATTTAAGATTTAAATTACAGTTAGAATCTCAACATAAAAATCATTGTAGTGAATATAGGTTAAAATATAATTTTGTTTATTAATATTCTGTATATATGTTCTACATATTACTTTATCTAAAAATATAAAATTTTAATTATTAATTAACTTTTTAATATATTTTTATTAATTTTAATTAATATTATATATATTTTTGAACGAATTACAATTGAGTGCACTTTATCACGATGTATATAACCATTGAGACCCTGAGATTCAGGTACAATTAATATTTTATACATTTTAAGATAATAAAAAATAAATATAAGTATAAACACAACACCGCGCAGTCTTGCCAAACGAAGCTATAGACTGTGCCAAGGTTTAGGCAATTGTTCTCTCAACAACGGTGATGCCTTTTACCACTTTAAGCTTTGGGTCTCATTGGCGTCGGCGATAAGTTTAGACCCGACACGTCTAACTTGCCGGTGACTCGTAATTATTTTGAGGGTGATGATATTTTTTAATTGGGCTAAAATAATGGGCCGCAAGAGTTAACTTGGGCCATTCATTATGGATGACGCCAGAGTCAAATCTAGACTGAGCCCTTTGGAGCACTCGCTGTCTTCTCTCTTATCCTTGGTCCCAACGTCTGCTTCTCCGGCTGCAGATTCATCGGAGCGCTCCACCAGTGATTCATCAGCTTGAACAATACGAGCCCCAAATAGTTTGAAAGAATAATTCTCCACTTTCTCGTCTGTAACACCAAATCGCTTGACTTCACCATCTTCATACTTGAAATATGGTATGCAAGTTGCTTCGCCGGAGTCACCGAACGGTAAATTTCCGACGGTGGCACCGGAATGCTGAAGAGATGGCTGATTTGCTCTTACCACCTCTATTCTGTAGTTCAAATACCCTGCTTCATCTTCCTCCTTGAAAAGGGTTACAATATCACCCACATTTAGTTTGTTTTTAAGAGCAAATGATCTCCACCCTTTGGAAAGGACTGGCTTTTTATGCCCCTTTTTGCGAGTTGTGCACATAATTGGCCACACAGCGGTCCCATGCCGGACGTGCAACTCCACGGCGTTGCCTCCTTCGTTGTGTAACAAGGAGGTCAGACTCTTGGTGGGTATGGCTAACCTTTTGCGGGTGTCAGTAGAAGTTAGTGGCTTGGAAAAGAGCTGCATCAGTTTGAGAGGAACTGAGAAGCGTTCTCTGAATTAGGAAATGGGATGGTAGCATGAAAGGCTTGGAATTGGCAGATATATAATACAGAAGTGTAAATGGAAAGCATTTTGGTTCTATGCATAATAAGATTTAATTTACCAACGAGTGTTGAATAAAATGGTAAGCGGTTTGTTTCAATTTAAATAAAATCTTGAGTTTGAGATCTTATGTATGCAGCAATTTTTATTGAGAGATTCATTCACCATTTCTAGATATACGATCCAAGTCAATTCAGATTAATCGGGAGCGAAACCCCGGATACCGAACGAGAAAAACCAAAAAAATAATAAGATTTAATTCTCAATATTAATTTTAGAATGGTCTTGAAAACAAAGGTGCTTTGTGGGTCCCAAAACACATATTCTCGATGTGCTTGTGTTAATTTGATTTTTAAAAGAAATTTAATTAAATAATTTTATATATTAAATAAATAATAATTAAATTTTTTTATACATTTTTTTATTTAGTATTTTTATTTATATTAAATTTTTTTTATTAATTATATAAAATTATCAAATTAATTTATATAAAATTAAAAATTAAAACAACTAAAATAAATTAAAAAATAATTAATTCATGTACAAAAATTAAATAAGGCAATTTTTGTATTTATTTTATACAACAAATAACAAATTATATAATAAAAACTAACTTTATTTACTCAAATCTCTTTCTACCCATCTCAATATTCAAATCTAAAATTTTTAACGTAAAATGTCATGTTCTTAAGTACTCAACTACGAGTAGGTCTCTTGTCGACAGCAGCTTTTGTTCTGTCTGGAAGACTAAGAAGTTAAGAACTTTTTTCATATCAGACAACGTGATATAAGAGCACTCCCACGTGAATAAATTTGGTGTTTGTTAGGCCACATACAAACCATCAATATTTAGTTGTGTGAAGTAAAATGCACTTTCAAAATACTTAAAAAAAAAAAGAAATTAATAATTTAAAAAATTTAAGAAATTAAGTGTATCCATATCGAATTACGTACTATAAATACTTAGCGCTGCTAATGCTTTGTGAAAAGACTTTAATATTGAACCCCCTGCTTCTTTTTTGGGCCACTTTAACTCTTACCTTATACTCTTTTTATTTGATTTTAGTAAATTTAATTTTTTTAATTTAATAAAATAAAATTTTCATAATTTATTAATAAATTTTTATATTTATTTCTAACTAATTATTACTTAAATAAGATTTTTTATTTAATATATATTGTAATTATTAAAAAAAATAAAGATAAAATAAAAAAGAGTGCATTAAACTTCATCTTTAAATAAAAAAAGTAAATAACTAAATTCAAAACTCCTATATTAAAAAATTAAATTTATTAAAGTTGAATAGAAAGAGTAGATTTTAAAATTATTAGCTCCTTACCTAAAAATTTAAGGTTACTAATCTCTCAAGTCTCAACAATATAATTTAAAAAATTTTATTTTTGTGTTGATGAATTTGACACGTGCTTCTCACGTAAATGTTAATTAAACACCATTTTCACTCCACTTAGCAAATAGTGAAGAGTCAAATTTTTTATATAATTTTATATCTCATTTTTTAATAGACTTACATATTATTTAATAATTAATTATTTTTATTTTATTAAAATTTTAATGTTATATATATTTATTTTATAATATATAAAAAATTATACAAAAAGATTTTATCTATATCATTACTCTATTTAAAAATACCTCATTAGTTTAAAAGGATAGATGTACGAACATTACGTGTATGAATGAATTGCTAATCTAAAATTTAATAGAAATATATATAAAAAAAAGTATTGTTGAATCTAAATTATATAATATAATATAATATTAATTATTAAATAAAAATTAAGTTTTTAATATTAAAATTATTTTTTAAATAATTTATATTTTATAATTTAATATAATTTAAATTATAAAATAAAGTTCTCAATGTATAATGAGGTAAAAACTTATTTTGAGCCCCTCATCTTATTAAATTTGAAAGTTTTAGTCTCTTACCTTATATTATGATATTTTTAACCATTCACCTTACTAAATTTTTTGTAAGTTTTAACCCCTCACTTATTAAAATAAAAAAATAGCTTTCATTTTATATTGACTGTTAATTCTATTAGCTAAAATTAGATTTTTATCAATTAACAATCAACTAATGTCAATTAATAAAATTAACGAAATATTATAAAATTAATTCTGTTAACTCTATTAGTTGAAAAAATATTTTTACCAGTTAACAGTCAACTAATATAGTTAATAGTCAACTAAAAAAACTAATAAAATGTTATAAAGTGAGGATTATTTTATTCAATTTTAATATATGAGGGGTTAAAGGTGCATTACTATAAAGTGAATGGTTA